AACATATATATATATATATATATATATATATATATTCACCTACCACTTTATTAGGTACACCTGGCATGTGTTGGGTAGCACCTATTTCTGCTTTCAGAGTTTGATTCATTCTTTGTGTCACAGATTCAGAACAAACTGCTCGTTGGTTTCCAGTTTAGAAATGAAGAAATGTTTATAGTTTAACTGCATACAACATCTGTGTATTAATATAAAATAGAAAACATTTTCTTAAATGAAAAAATATATAAATGATCTCAAGTACAGTCAAAGGTCAAAGTCAAATAAAATAATATATCTTCAATCTGGACTAAGGCATAAAAAATGTAGCTCCACTCTTCTTAGAAAGCTTGCTGACATTAAGAGGAGTCAAGTACTATTAATTTATAATAATATTTCAGTATCCACTTTAACAACCCTCAGCTCAGTGTCTCAGAGTCGTCTGTCTACATTTTTACTGGCTTTTAAAACCAAACTTTTATTTTATATTTTCAAATATTCACGCAGTTTGATCAACAAAATATTTTAACAAATTTCACTTTTAATCTAAAAAATGGTATGAAAGACAAATATAGTCTAGTACACCTCATGCCCCCCTTTAGACTCGCCCCTGTTCTCCATGTAAAACAGGACGGCTGCCGTCGGCGAGCTGCATCATTTAAACGTCTCAAAGACTGAGGTGACAGGTCATCTGCAGATGTGTGTAAAACAAACAGCGGAGGATGGAGCAGCTACAAAGTTTGCTTTTCTGCATGTTAGAGTTTGATGATCAGGAGCTTTGATGAAGGACTTTAAAGGTTTTAATGTTGATCACAGAACAGATTTGTATCTTTAAATCAGCCTGAGCTCTTCGTCTCGGTCTTCACTGTGTGTAAATTCCACGTTAAACTATCGCAGCCTCATCATCACTGCTACTGCTTATCAGTTTCTGTTTATAAGTGGAGGCTGTTTGGCTTTGATGTTGTCAGACCTTTTGCTGACAAGCTGCCCAAAAATATGTTTGCAGGTCTGTTTTTTAGTCACAAATACGGGTTAAACACTCGCTACAGATCCGAGCAATAAACAAAGCATCGAAGGAATTCATGTTGACAATTTTTTATTGAATTTACAGTTTTTCTTCATTGACTTGCCTGCTGCATGACAGAAAAGTCCAAATTTTCCAAACAGTTAAGACACAGGCACAAACTCATCATCAAAGTGACACATTTGGTTTGCAAAAGATGGTTTTGACTGAAAAAACAAACTGTTGTGATGAGCTGTGAGAATCAGACGAGTGGATCAACACACTAGCAGATGTCTTCAGCAGTGAAGCCTGTGCAGGAACAGTATGAGTGTGTGTGATGTGCTGGAGGAATGTGATGTTTTAATACTTATCTCTGAATTATCTGCATTTGTTCTGTGTTTAAACATAATGATTTAAACATGTTTCATTCGTCAGGGCGAGGAACCGTCGTGGTGGTTGTATCTGAAGGAAACTACATCATCTTGCCGTGCTCGCTCAGCTCCCAGGAGAGCCTCGTACGAACGCACTTTCACTGGAAGAAAGACGATGAGCGGGAGGTGTTTGTGTACGACGCCGACCTCCATCATAATAACAGACGTTCAGGTCAAGACGAGCACTTCAGAGGACGCGTGTCACACTTTTCAGACCAGCTGAAGTTTGGTAACGCCTCCATCATCATCAGAAACACCACGGTGGCCGACAGTGGAGACTACACCTGAGATTTTCCATTTCATCAACCGGACAGAGAAACATTTAACGTCACCCTGGTTGTTGGTGAGTCTTTCATTTCTGCAATCATCCTAAGAAGTCATTCCAACCTGAAACAGTATGGAGTGTCCTCTTTCTCCTGCTGTGTTCACAGGTGCAGCTCCGAAGCCGTTTGTTGGGATCCTGAACATCAGCGAGGTCGAGGTGCAGCTGAAGTGTGAGGTCAGAGGAGCTTCTCCAAAGCCTAAAGTAGAGTGGAGGGACAGCGATGGGAACATCCTTCCTGCTGAGGAGCCACAGGTGTCACGCACAGGAGAGCGCTATGACATCACCCTCCTCACCACGGTGACCAGGACAAACAGCAGCCTCTTCCTCTGTGTAGCCACGCAGGAGGAGCTCAGCCACCGAGCTGCTGACGAGATCTTTGTTCCAGGTTTGATTCCCACTCATCATGTTTCCATCTGTGATGCTGATGTTTGTGCGTTTTAAACAATGCTGTGAAAAAGTATTTCTCTTCCTTCCTGATTTCATTGTTTTTTGCATATTTGTCACATTTAGATGTTTCAGATCATCAAACAAATATAAATAACGAAGTAACACAAAAGGCAGTTTTTAGATTATTTATCCAAACACAGACACACACTGTGATTAAGCAAATCTTTTGGAAAGCTGAGTTTAATTTTCCTATTTTAAGCATTAAAGCTGCCAGAGCTGAAAACCAGAAATGAATTTTAAAGAATCTCCTAAACAGACAAAAAACGTTTCTGACAAAGTGAATTAGACCAAAATCTGACAAAGCAGCGCGTCATGAAAGAGAAGCTGAGACACAAAGTCAGTGACATCTATCGGTGATGTTTGGGGACAAACCCATGTTTAAGGCTTTATGGCTCACAGAGAGTCATTATCTACCAACAGACAGGAGTTGGAAAAGTGGTGAAGCAGGAGTCGCCGACCTTCCAAAGTTACTCTGAGAGCACATCGGTGGCTCATCCAGGAGGTCAGTAAAGAACCCAGAACAACAGGCAGCTTGTGTCAGTTTAGGAGAACAGACCAGAAAATCCTCCACACTGATGTGACGCACTGTTCATCAGTTATCACAGACGCCTGAGCGCTGCAGAGGGAAATACAAGCACCTGTTTTCACATAGGTTAAAGGTCAGGGTGGGACGTTTTTGTTCCTTTAATAAATAAAAACATCACTTAAAAAATCTTATTTTCTGTTTACTTGGCTTATAAAATAAAACATCAGGAAGGAAAAAAAACGTTTTCACAGACGTGTTTGTATTTTTTCATTGATCACAGACGCTGATCTTATTTCTGTGGGTTGAAACTAAACCTGACCTTTAGTGTAACAGCTGGATTGTGTCATGTGTTTCAGCCCAGCTGTTTGAGTCCTGCCGTGGAGACACCGTGCTCATAGTTTCATTTGTTTCTGGGATTCTTTCTGCGCTCGTCGTTTTGTCTCTCTGTGTGTGTTTCATCTACACCACAGCGTAACTCGCCTTTAAAGGTACGTTTGAACATATTCACACCTGCGGACCTCGTCAAGAATGATGCAGTAACAAATAATAGAGACATGAATGAATGAATGACCAGAGAAAGAAAAGCTGACCTCAAGCTGTCAAACAAAAGTCACATTAAGTTTGTTAATTTTGTTTTTTAATGTCCAAAAAATATCAGATGAGGGAACGGTGAGGGAACGGTGAGGGAACGGTGAGGGAACGGTGAGGGAACAGTCTGCAGAGTTCCTGTTTGAAGTACAGATGTATTCATGATAACATGTTTTTATTCTGACCAACAGAATTTATTGTGTTTTGTTGTTTTAACATAATAAAAATTCTCATCTTCACAGGACCAACATTCTTCATGTGTATGTGTGATTTTAAAAGCAGACTTTATGTAATAAGTACTTTTATTTCCTTTTTGCAGCTTCTCAGTGAAACCAGAGACACGATGTTTCTGTGAAGCTGATTTACAGCAGACTCCAGGCTCCAGAACAGTTACTGAGGAAAACAGATTCATACCTCAGTGAACTGAAATCCTGCGTTTCCTTTGTCTTTATGTTGATGCAGCTTATTACAGGGAAGGAAATACTCTTGCTTTAATTTATGCCATCTTTTTTAATTGCATTGAGAAGCAGTGTTTCTATGATGATCATGAAATGTGAAAACAGACACTGCATTTGACATGTTGTTATCAGGAACTGTGAAGCAGGCGAAAGTGCAGCTGGTTTTAATTCTGTTCGGTCCTGTTACAGGACGTCTGTGAATGTTTTTAGTGTTTGTGCTCCCAGAACTATTGCTCTTATTATTATTATTATTGTATGTTTCATGTCTGCAGACAGACGGTCTCGGTCATTAGTCACACAGGAGATCGTTTCACAGGTCGTCCCATCTCAAATCAAAGAAACAAACAAACAATTTGAAGATATGAACGTTGTGCTGTTTACGGGTCTGGGTCTGTGTTGAATTGCCTTTTTAAAATTCTGTCACTATAAAAACTGCTCAAGATCCTTTAAATTTAATATCTGATGCAACGACAGGAGCTCCACTCCTAAAGATCCATATTCACAGAGCCATGTTTACAAATGTGCACATATACAGTAACTAACTGTGGCTGTGTGCAAAATGTACCTCTGCTGTGTAATGTACAACCTTCTTTTCAAAACACTTGTTAGAGGCTTCCTCCTCCTCCTCATCATCATCATCATTGCCCCTCCCACCTCCCATCCTCTGCCCAGTGTTTTCCTGATGAAGGCAACGAGCAGAAACATGTCGATTGAGTAATTCAGTCGTTCTTGTTCCCACGATGCTGCTCGAGCTTCACCTTCTTTAGGCTATCGCTCTTCTCCATGCACCTTGAGTAATAAGTGAAGTTGTGCCAGAGATCTTTGTGTTTCCACAGATGTCGTCCTGATCACATCAGCTCCAGTTTTATCTCTTTACAGTGAAACAGACGCTCAGAGCTCCACACGCAAGCTTGATGTGGTCCAAGGATGAGCGACGTCCCTGTTTTTTACTGTTATTTAGTCTGTGCTGATACTTTTGCTTCCACTCTGTGGAGGCTTGACTTTTAAACATTAATTTTCTCTTGTTTGTTGGTGAAATGAATGCATTAACTTTCTTGTGGGGCAACTCGTCCCTTCATGCTCATGAAAAAACATGAAGCATTGTCTCAACTTAAAAATAAAACCTTTTCTAAACTCTGTCTTTTCGTTTTTACAGTTAGTTTCCCTTCTTGTTGATGATGAGCTGTCAGCTTTTTTAGCGTCTGTTCTTAAATGCTGAATATTATTCCATCTTTCATCCTGCAGTCAGCTGTAAAACATCTCAACTCTACATCACAGGCTGACTAAATGTTGCTTTGTTCGCTTTATTTAGAGTTTGATTTTACTCAGACTTCTGCACATCACTCAATGAATTTATGAATATTAAATGTGTGCTTTTCTTGGTTTCATGCTCAGTATATTGGCGCCCTCTAGTGTCCAAAACTCCAGCATGCAGCAAACAGCAATGAGCTAATGAATTAAATGCAGCCTTTACTGGTCCATTAGAAAGACTGGAAGTGTTCTTCTCTCTGTGAGTTGTGCTGGCCTGTGTCCTGCGGTCCTCCTTGCGGGCTGTCCTGTCCCTTCACCTGGCTCTCTGGTTTTGGGTGGGTGCCTCTTCCTTCCAGGATTGTTGAGGGTCCGGGAGTCTGGGGCACGTGGAGCTTGAGTTCTTCATTACCTCAAAATCCTCCTTGATTTTATTCAGCTGAGTTTAAATAATGACTTTGATAATGACAGCGTCGGGCTGCTGTGTGAATGTAACAGTAACAGAATCATGTTTCAGCAGCTTTCATTCGGCCGTCCACATGTTGGTCAGATATTTAAGATATTTGTGGTTTTTGTTTGTGGGTTTGGAAGGATGAGGACTGGAGGTGGACTCTGATCAGAACCTGTACAGGTATAAATCTTCTCTGGACTCATGCCTTCTGTGTTTATTGGGCGGCGCCCTGCATTAATTCTTGCAACGGGCCTGCGCATGTTTAAACGTGACATGCCCACAGTGAACTAGGAAATGTGATACTGTTTTGTTTCAGCGAACTGCACTTCTCTGGAAACAGGCGGTTTTTGCATGTTCCTCTGTCATCCAACCAGCTCGACCGACGGACAGGATGTAACAGCTGTAACGTGATGCATGCATGAAAAATGTGAAGTAATGAAAGGTTGACTCCATGTGTGACGATGGTCTGCACGTCATAGATTTTTCTCTCCAGTCTGTTAAGGCAGAGTTTCTCTTTCACTCACACACACACACACACACACACACACACACACACACACACACACACACACACACACACACCAGGGAAGACCTGCTCACATTCCTGCTCCAGCCTGAGTCACACCGGACTCAACGACTCGTGAGCTCCTGGGATTTTTTTGAATTTCACTTTTTGGGGATTTGCAGGAAGTGCTCACTCACTTTTAGATTTAAGCTGCTGCTGTTTGGATCGCAGGGAGGAACAGACTTTATTCAGCAACATGTTTTTATCTGAGCTTTTATCTCTGAGCCTCTTCCCTCTGACGGTGTCTGCGGTAACAGCAGGACATGAAAACGGTAAGAAATGATCAGTAGCTGTGATCACAGCGTCTCCCTGAGAGTTTGTTCTGACCTCCTTTTAAGTGAACAAACTCAGAGCTTCACAGCAACTGTTCAAACTCACCTGCAGCCAAAGACACAAGCCTTCCTGCCTTTTTGTTACGGTGTAAATGTTAATTAAAAAATTATATTTATAGTCACATATAATAAATGCTCACTTCAGAGAGAAGGGAAGAATGAGTCTTAGTCTACGTTTGTCTGTTTTATATTCCACTTTTAAAATTCAATTTTATTCAATTCCATAAAAGGTCAGATGAACAGAATCAAATTTTGGGATTTACTTACCTGAATAATTGCATTAAAACATCCAGTGAGCTGCAGTTGTCTGGGTGCCTTCATGATGTCAGAGAAGAATGGCGAGGAAGGCAACTCTAATAACCTCTCGTTACAACTAAAGTGGGCAGAAGAGCATCTCTGAACACACTTTGGACCTTGTAGATGGGCTGCAGCAGCAGAGGAGCACACTGGGGCTCGCTGTCAGCAAAGAACAGGAAACTGAGGCTAAACTGAGCAAACGGCAGAATAGAAAAACATTGCCTGGTGTGATGAGACTTTATTTCTGCTGCCATGTTTAGATGACAGGTCAGAATATGGCGTAAATAAAAGAAAGCATGGCTCCATCCTTCCTGGTATCGTTCCAGCTGCTGGTGGTGTGGGTCTCTGTACCAGCGAAGTCCACGCTGCCTACCTGAGTTTTGTTGCTGACCGTGTTTATCGATGAATGACTACAGTGCACCATCTCCTGATGGCTGCTTCCAACAGGACAGCACTTAAGGCTTAAAGAAGCTTAAACCATCTCCAACTAGTTTCTCGAACATGACGATAAGATCAGTGTACTCGACCTCCACAGTCACCAGATCTCAGTCCAGCAGAGCACCTTTGGGCTGTGGTATAATAGAAGATTCAGATCATGTAAGAAAAGCTGACAAAGCTGCAGCAGCTGTGTGATGCTAACACGTCAACATGGACCAGAACCTCTGAGAAGTTAGCTTGTTGACTCTGCGCCATTAACAGCTCTGAAGGTAAAGACGGTCCAACTGAATAAGAGCAAGGTTTCCATAATAAAGCTGCTGTAGGAGGCATGCATGCTTTGTGGATTGCTAATGTTTGGTTTCTATGTTCTTGGTTGTGGGGTGTGTGCTCCACAGGTAAAGGTGATCACACTCACCTGTTCACTTCACCCGGGTTTGGACGAACATGAAGTGAGCACAGGAGGAGTCTGTGTGCTTGATGGTTTTCCTGTCCTGGTGTTTGGCATGTTTGAAATAAACAGGAGTGCATCCAGTTTATTTTTCCACTCATGCTAACTTCCTTAAATGATTTGGTCATGTGACTCACATCTGTCATCAGTTCAAATGCTGAATAAAACTGTTTTCTAACTCGGTTATAAACTGTTGTTTCAGTTGAGATGACGTGTTTACAAGCTACTTATTTTAGATTTAGCTCTGAATTATTCATGTTTTGTTCTCATGAGGTTTAAACTGTGATTCATTCTTTAGGAACCGTCATGGTGGTGGCATCTGAAGGAAGTTACATCATCTTGCCGTGCTCGCTCAGCTCCCAGGAGAGCCTCGTACAAACGCGCTTTGATTGGAGGAAAAGCGACGACAGGGGGGTGTTTGTGTACGATGCCGGACTTCATTACAACAACGGCCTGCGAGGTCAAGACGAGCACTTCAGAGGACGCGTGTCACACTTTTCAGACCAGCTGAAGTTTGGTAACGCCTCCATCATCATCAGAAACACCACGGTGGCCGACAGTGGCGACTACACCTGTGATTTTCCATTTCATCAGCCGGACAGAGAAACATTTAACGTCACCCTGGTTGTTGGTGAGTCTTTCATTTCTGAAAACAAACTAAAGACCAAGTGTAACAAGCGAAGCACACGTGAACTTTCATAACAGACAAGAGGTGAAATATTCCTTCTTTACCACAATACTGATATAAAAACTTTATACTGATTTGATATCAGTAATATTTGGTGTTTTCTGCTGTTAATGACAAAAGTGTATCGATCATGCTCCACACTCTTAGTGCTGTTAGTGTTGGCTCAAACAACCCTTTGTGGGGAAAGTGACCGCAGATATTTATCTCCTGATGCCTCTGCTTGTTCTCGGGATAAGAACAGGGTGTGTTCAGACAGGCTGGCTGGTAGGAAAACAAATCAGCAGAAACAAATCTTATTCCACATTCCTCAGATTCAACAGTCCTGTGTCCTGTAACCCACTTCAGACGTGTCATAAAGCAGGAACAACAACAACGCAGAACTTTTCCCTGTTTCACTGAAGACAGTTTTAAGCTGATTTGCTTGTTCTGACTCGTGTTTCCTGCTGCTGTGTTCACAGGTGCAGCTCCGAAGCCGTTTGTTGGGATCCTGAACATCAGCGAGGAGATCGATGCTCCACACTCTTAGTGCTGTTAGTGTTGGCTCAAACAACCCTTTGTGGGGAAAGTGACCGCAGATATTTATCTCCTGATGCCTCTGCTTGTTCTCGGGATAAGAACAGGGTGTGTTCAGACAGGCTGGCTGGTAGGAAAACAAATCAGCAGAAACAAATCTTATTCCACATTCCTCAGATTCAACAGTCCTGTGTCCTGCTCTCACACACGATGTGTCGACATCTCCATCAGGAAAGAGAAGGACATGAGAGCATGACAGCACATTTGTGCTGTAACTGCAGCTTCATGCTGTGTTCACAGGTGCAGCTCCGAAGCCGTTTGTTGGGATCCTGAACATCAGCGAGGACGAGGCGCTGCTGAAGTGTGAGGTCAGAGGAGCTTCTCCAAAGCCTAAAGTAGAGTGGAGGGACAGCGATGGGAACATCCTTCCTGCTGAGGAGCCACAGGTGTCACGCACAGGAGAGCGCTATGACATCACCCTCCTCACCACGGTGACCAGGACAAACAGCAGCCTCTTCCTCTGTGTAGCCACGCAGGAGGAGCTCAGCCACCGAGCTGCTGACGAGATCTTTGTTCCAGGTTTGATTCCCGCTCGTCATGTTTCCGTCTGTGAATGATGCTGTTTTCATGAATGTGCTTTTCGTTGATCACAGACTAAATTGTGGATGTCATGGAGACTCGTGTTGACAGCAGGCTGGTGTCGTGTGTTTCAGACCAGCTGTTTGAGACGTGCGGTGGAGACATCGTGCTCATAGTTTCATTTGTTTGTGGAATTCTCTCTGTGGTCGTGCTGATAGCTGTGTGTGTGTGTTTCCTCTACTTTACCGTCTAATCGTCCATAAAGGTGCGTTTGAATGATGGATTATATCAACATCTCTGTAATCTGTCGACATGACTGTACCGCGGATATTAATTTTTGTTTTATTTTCATATTCACAGCTTCTGTGTGTGTGCGCGTGTGTGTGTGTGTTTCTGAAAATTGACAATAATGGTGATGTTGCCTTAAATCTGTCAGTCTGCCCCAGGGCAGCTGTGGCTACAACTGTAGCTGCCTCCACCGGTGTGTCAATGTGAGAGTGAATGAATAGTGGTATTGTAAAGCGCCTTGAGGGGTCCCGAAAAGCGCTGTATAAATGCAATCCATTATTATTATTGTTATTATTATTATTATTATTATTATTATTATTATTTTGTTTTTATTATTATTATTATTATTATTATTATTATTATTATTATATTATTATTATTATAATTATTATTATTATTAATAAATAAATATAATTTCTTTGTCCCTGAGGAAGTTTCACTGAGCATATTCACATCAGTTTGTTCTGTTGTGTGTTTGATTGTTCTGGAAGGTAAAGCAGGAACTTGATGTGTTCAGGTTCAGGGTTGATTCTCTGCAGTTTCACACGTTGATGTTTTGTACGTTTTTAATCGTGAACCCCGGGAAAAATATGAGTTGCTACAGAAACAAAGAAAAGTTATATGAATGAATAAATGACCAAAGAAAGAAAAATATTTATGTTAAGCTCGAGCTCTTGTTGCAAAATCACATTTTTGGTTTATTTGCTGTTGTTTTAATGACCAAAATGAAAAGTATCAGATTCGGGAAGTTTGCATCGTGCCATGATGTGTTTAAAGCAGGGACGATGGGACAGGAGGTTAACTGGTGTGAGTGTGAGTGGTTGTCTGTGTCTGTGTTGGCCCTGTGACAGACTGCTGATCTGTTCTGGGTTAACCCCGCCTCTCGCCCTGTGGATGCTGTGATAGACTCCACCCCCTGCGTCTCTGAGGAGGATGAGCAGAGGAGGAGGGATAGTTGTTTCTCCTGCTAACAGGTGATGTGTTTCTTTATTGAAACTTGGAGTCATGAACATATTATAGATGCAGATTAATAAGCCTCACAGCTGCTTCTGCTCACTGGGTTCATTACTAACATTAAAATCTTTAGAGTTAAAGAGTTTCACTCACAGTCCAGTGGCTTTAAATGAGATGCTGATAAC